CTATTTAACGCGGCGTCATCTGCGCCCGCGTTCTCATTCAGTTTACATCGGAGAGCGTTGTACGTGTAGGTACAAGGAGTATAGGAGTGTGGGCGAGATGTCCGGAGTGTAAGGGCCAGACGCTCTCGCGTGCTGTAGGCACACGGTCGCCACGACCGGTTTAAATTTTGGCGTCAGGCCATGTGACGCTAATTGTCACGGGACGGAAGTCCGACAGCTCGCATCACGCGTGGCTTTTATTTTTCTGCGGTAAAACAGGGTACAGGATGGAAAAGGTTATCGGAGTGTTTAGAATTAGCAATTTATTGTAACTTGTCTATAATCTTTTAATATACTATTTTTATTTTGTTATTTCAATTTATTTCTCATTTCACTATGTCACACTATGGAACGGGTTTCTTAACAATGGGATAAAGGGACCGTACTTCAGAGAAGTAAACACGTGCACCGTCACATTCAAGACTCGGTTTTAAAACTAACATAATACTTAGCACATAAAAACTAAATTCAATGTATTTTTTTTATAAAAAGAAAGAATTTTTACAGAAGAGCACAAAGCTCTGCACTTCCTAATTACAATTATTTCTCGTGGCACACTATATTTTCGTCGGACGAGGACATCACAGCCGGGGAGCGTCGTAACTATTTACAAGTTAGCCAACTGCAAACGAACGAATGGAGGAAGGAGAGTCTAATAAGTTCGAGGACACAATGACCACAGAATCTTCACTTGTGTTGCCAGCACTAGCTGTCAAATCATCCCATTCTAAAGAAAATCGGACAATAAGAAGTGCTACACGGAGTGGCTGAAGCACCGCCCCTTTGAAACAAATTGAAACCAGGGGGTTTTGCAGTCAAAGCAGCGCCCTCTGTGAAACAAATTATTCTAGCACTACGTTTGGCACTGAAACTATTTGGACAGCCACTCGTTTGTTTTGACTTCGAAAACATGGCGACCACTAGTTCGGCGAGCCGCCACCAAGAGCGCTGGAACTATAGGGACAGCCATTTTATGTAGTACATTCTAGCTCGTTGGATATCCTTAAACTCTATTGGTCACGTGACTAGCGCCTTTATACGGTCGTAGTGAACAACGTTCAGAAGAGGTTTAGCAATTGCGACATTGCGTTGTGCATTGTAATAAAGGAAGCATTTCAAGCGTTCAAACAAAAAAGTGCATAATATATCAATGAGTATAGGCTAGTGATGAGTCATGTAAACCACGATACGAGTCAACAGAATAACAAATATACATTGTGCATGCAGTTTTAGATTTTGTGGTCCTCCGTAATGAGTATGCAGTCTGGAATTTTGAATCGGCTTTTCTTAAAAATATAGGAAATACCTTAAATCAGCGTTCGTTATGAGCATAAGAATATCCTATCCCAAAGATATGATTTGAACTCCTTTTTCGCGAATTTCTTTCCAGACACCTCTCCAACATTTCCCGTTAATTCTTGTCAGCGTAATAGAATTGGTAAGGAAAAATTGTAACTGTCTCACATACGCGAATCGGTTTATCAGAGTTGAAAAATGCAACCTTTTCTGTTTCCTGGCAGCTATTTTCCCGCTTGTAAGGTGACCGAAAAGACTTCTACAGGCGTACATTGTAAATGAAGGTATAAGGTCGTACATTGGCCTTAAGGTAAGACGTTATGACTTCAAGGTCCGTCACGTGACTGTTAGTGCATGACGCCGCTACCTTACGCGTGGCGCTAAAACTGCCTATTTCAGTACACACACAAAAAAAAAAGAACAGTTGCAGTATACCAGATCCATGATACTGTAACAAGTTCCCTTGTTCCTCGTATACGCAACTGTTTGCGTAATTCCCTCGTAAACATGATCTGATCCATCCAAGTAAGTTATACAGTGTATATCGAAGGCAAAAACAAGCAATAACATATCAGTAAAAATAAATTAATTTAAATAAAATTACTGGGGTTATATGAATGATTCAGTACCAGAGGTGCCTCGAAATACACTGCATAACTTAACATGATCGTGGTCACGAGGGAAACAAAAGCAGTTGAATGATAGTTGAAATATATTAAAGATATAAAATATGTAAATATGTATGTGAATCATTCAAATTGTGTAAAAAAATAAAATGTGTACCACTAGTTGTAATAATTACAGGCTTTTCGTCGCCACTCGATCATTAGAACCCTTACTACGCCTTTGATGCATACATAAGTACAGTCGACTCCGGTTATAGTGAACTCGAATATAATGAACCCTCAGTTATAGTAAACTTAAGTTACCGGTCCAGTTTCACTTACAATACAAATAAGCCTAATAGCATAAAGCATCCCGCTAACGAAAGCCTCTCCTATGTTATTAGGCGAGTAAAAGGGCCTTCGGAGAGTGGGGCTGTGTTCCAACTGTGGTCAATGCAGAATAAAGTATGGAGAAAGCACGAACTCTGGAGAAGGATGTAGAGATATTACTAATGAAAAAGTAAGAAGCAACCAATTGAAAATCATTGATTTTTTGAAGAACAAATAAATATATCTAAATTTTCAGTTTGTACTGAGAATGTATTTTGCTGTATCAACCGATAAGGAGAAATTCTATTTTATTTGGACATCGGATATAGAGAACCTCGGTTAGAGCAAACCAAAAATGTTCACTATAACCGTAGTCGACTGTATAAGCAAACTGGCCTTTTGTGGCCGGTCGCTCATTAGAAGCCTCGTAACGGCCGTGGTGTGCCCGCCAGCTTGCCGTACGGGGCCAAGTTGGAGTACGACGGGGAGCGGCCCAAGACAGCCCAGGCTGGCCTCCTGCTGGGCGGCAAGGCGGCGGGTGGGCGGAGCGGCGGGGGCGGCGGCGGCCAGGCCGCCGGGCGGGCGGCGGGCGGCTGGGC